ATTGGTGCATTCAGTCCATTTACATTTAGGGTGATAATTGATAGGTATGTACTTTTGCCACTTCAGGCTTTAGATTCTGGGTTACCAAAGTTTCCAGGTTACTTTCCTTACTATCTAAGAGTCTAACTTATCTCACATAGTATGCTGTTACAAACACAATCTAAAGGTTCTTTTCTATTTCTCCTCCTTTTTCTTCCTCATTCATTCTTTATATATTAGGTATCAGATTCTATACTTTTCCTCTATCCCTTGATTGGCTTTGGGGATAGTCAATTTAATTTTGCATTTGCCTCATAATCAGCTGCTCCACCCTCCCTACCATGATTTTACTACCTCTGGTGACAGCTATCCAACCCTCGGAACACTTCCATCTATAGCAGTCCCTCCAAAATAGGCTGCAGAGATGACGGTTTGTGGGAGGTAAACTCTCTCAGCTTTTGCTTATCTGGAAATTGTTTAATCCCTCCTTCAAATTTAAATGATAATCTCACGGGATAAAGTAATCTTGGTTCCAGGCCCTTCTGCTTTATGGCATTAAATACATCATGCCACTCCCTTCTGGCCTTTAAGGTTTCTGCTGAGAGGTCTGTTGTTAGTCTGATGGGCTTTCCTTTGTATGTGATCTTATTTCTGCCTCTGGCTGCTTTTAACAGTCTGTCCTTATCCTTGATCTTTCCCATTTTAATTACTATGTGTCTTGCTGTTGTCTTCCTTGTGTAGGGGGATCTGTGGATCTCCATGGCATGACAGACTATGTCCTCCCCCAGATTGGGGAAGTTTTCAGCAATTACCTCCTCAAAGACACTTTCTATCCCTTTTTCTCTCTTCTTCTTCTGGTATCCCTATAATGCGAATATTGTTCCACTTGGATTGGTCACACAGTTCTCTCAATATTCTTTCATTTTTAGATCCTTTTTTCTCTCTGTGCCTCAGCTTCTTTTATTCCTCTTCTCTAGTTTCTATTTCATTTACTGTCTCCTCCACCGTATCCAACCTACTTTTAATACCATCCATCGTGTTCTTTAACGATTGGATCTCTGACCTAAATTCATTCCTGAGTTCTTGGATGTCTTTCTGTACCTCCATTAGGATGTTGATTATTTTTATTTTGAACTCCCTTTCAGTAAGAGTCACGATGTCCATATCATTTAAATCTTTCTCGGGAGTTGTATTAACAATTTTACTCTGGACAAGGTTCTTTTGGCTTTTCATGTTTGTATATGGTGCCCTCTAGTGTCCAGAAGCTCTATTCTGGAGCTGCTGAGCCCCTGAAGCAATGTTGGGGGTCACAGGGGAGCGGTACTGGGGGTAGGAAAGAGCTGTTCCCCGCCTCCTGGCTCCTGTGCCTGTCTCCAATGCCTGAGCCAGTGGGCTGGGCACACAGGTATAATTTTTTGTCCCAGAGCAGACAGATATGGATCCCTGCTTTCCACAAGCAGCCGGAATCCCAGTCTCCCCAGGAACTCTGCCTGTATTAACTTTCCAACCCGGTAGTCATGAGAATCTCATGAAAGCACCATGAAATGTAGGCTTGTGCTCCCAGCGCAGATCTCCAGAGCCAGATATTCAGCAGTCCCAAGCCTTCCACTCCCTCCCTGCTCTGTTTCTCTTCCTCCCGCCGGTGAGCTGGGGTGGGGGAGGGACTCGGGACCCACGGAGCCACAACTCCGGTACGTTACCCTGTTCGGTGAGGTCTGCTCTTTTCTCCAGGTGTGTGCAGTCTGACGCTGTCCTCTTTCCTTTTGCTCTCTCAGGATTAGTTGTGCCAATTAAATTTTCTAATTGTATCCAGTTTTAGGAGGAAGCCTCGGTCTGTCCTCTCACGTCGCCATCTTTAATCCAAATCCCACACTTGGTTTTATTTATTATCGTATTCTTACTGGAGTCATTAACTCCTTGACAGCAAAACCTATTCTTTTTTTGTTTTTAATTTCCTGCCATGTCTACTAACATATAGCTTTGCACATGGTGGGCACTTAATAAATACTTACTAAGTAATTACTATACATTTTTAGGGTATTTTACAGTATTTTCAAAACTCTTTGTATTTCCTTTTCCCACCTCACTTCCCTTTTCCTTTTCTGACAACTACTAAAGAAAACTCACCTGTCTAAACCACCAACCATCAGAAGCTGCTTAAACTGTTGGGGACTCTGAGGGAGACAATAAAACTTTCCAGGTTCCCTGGATGGTACTACAAACTCTTTGGCACCCTTTTAACAAAAGAGAAGAGCAGAGATATTATTTTAAAAAAACTTAACTGGTAGGAGTTGATACTTCAGCTCATCAATGAAATTAAATAAAGAGCAAAGTTCCCACAATGACAGATTTCTTGCTCATCTTTTAGTCCCCCAAAAGGCTTGCACACATAGGCTTTAAATAATGTTTGTACACAGTAGGTGTTAAGTGTGTGCTTACTGAAATGAATTCTCAATTGTTACTAGCTAAAAGAATGTTGTGCATCAATTCCTATTCAAGGAATTCCCAATTGCTTTCCTAAATTAAATTATAGTTTTGTACGTCCACAGACTGTATGAATAGATTAAATATCAATGTTAGAAATGTCAGTTCTTGATGAACAAGGAGTTTACTTTTAAGGAATCGATTCATTGTTGATTTGCATCTGTAAAACTCAAGGAAAAGAAAACTCACATAGAATAAAAGAATGCTGACTCAAAATACTGATGCATATAATTTTCTCAATCTTTAAGAAAACCTAGTTAATGTGACCATCCTGAGGCAGTAAAATAAACAAAAGAAGTACAAATAAGTACATATAAAAGCAAAGTGGTTCAGGTTTCATATCTAATAGCACTTTGTTAGTAGGCTGACTTAGGGATTATACGTACCCCTGGAGTCCTCTTAAACAATGTTGGTGTTTCTATATCCACAAACCCTAAAAGGAGAGAAACATCAGAATTTAATAGAATTAGTTAAATATGTTGTCTATGGTACAGTACAAATCTGAGGCTGTCCTTTAAGTAGGAATTTTGACTGAAATAAAGTTACCAAGCATACTGATGTGGGTTTTATACATCCAAGAAGGAAGGTAAAGATTTTCATAAAATCTTATTCTGTTCATAAAGTTAATACTTTAGTTATAAAATAATTCTATTTGATGGATTCTTGTCTACTGAGCTGTTCTGGTTTCCTAAATGTTCTGCTAATGCAACTAAAAGTAACACAAATATAGTAGGAAAATCCCAGGATTGGCTGAAGAGCCTAATTTAATTCACATAACATTTCTGAGCTCCCAAATAATTATGTATGAGCATGATAAAGAATCAACAAAATTTATAGATAACAACGGAAGGGCTACCCTACCTTTAGTAATGATGGGAAATACTGAACATAGCAGGCACTTCACTTCAAAAGGTTGTCCTTGTGACCCAGTTGCAAACTAAATTATGCTCTAAATTAGTACATTATGCTCTAAGAGACAAAACACCTGGAAATTAGCCTTTCTTTAGGTAGCTTTACATATTAAGTGACATTTGGCAACATCTGACCCAATATGAAGGAGAGAATATAATAAAGCTGCTGAATAAAACAGAAGAGATGCTAAAGTGCTTCAAGAACATTCAGGCAGTTTCCTTACCATGTAGATTACAGAGATATTCCCGCATTTTCATGACCATCTGGGACCTCAGTCGCAAGTAATACTGCATTTGGAAACTACGCAAGTCCAAGTAGCGATACTGCAAACGAAGAGCCTCTGTTTTCTAAACAAATTGGAAGATTTTTGTTACAGTATTTTTCAAATATTGAAACTATTAATTCAAATATTAACTTTAGATACACAGTGTGAGTTTTCAAAACCTTCAGCTCTATCCTTAGTTTCCACCATTTGTGTGCACACCATCACCTTAATTCCTACAATTTCTAAAACTGTTACTAGTACAGATTTTACACTTGTTACTATTTGTTATTAATAAGACCCTTCACTGTTTGACATTTTCTTACCTTCCTAAACATTACCCACTAAGCCTGCAGTTGCCTTGAAAAAAAAATCTAAAGATTTCAAAGATCTTTTATAAATACACACCAGAGTAAAACACAGCTACGACTTCCTCACTGAGTGGGACAAGTTTAAGAAACACAAGGAATGGCAGAGGGAATCTCAATGGCTGTACTAAGAACACAGTGTGGAAGGATGCTTATTTTCAAAGCTGGAAGTCTCTGCATCCCTGTTTGTGCTGACAACTTTTTAAGAAGTCCTTCCCCTAGAATAGCTTATTTCTGATACTAAAAACAGAAGTATCTGTCACTTCTTTTCTGAAACTTTAGGTGGAGGGAAACTGTTTATTTCCTTTTCCCTTTTTCCACAACAAGGTCAACTCTGTAATTACATTGCTTTTTCTAACTAAAAGACTTAAGTATTGGGAAATTAAATGTAAGACCAAGTGGCCATGCAATTAATTAAAAAACCCTTTTTATAGATCTGTTTACGGACTGGGTATACATAGGTCTACAACCATAGATAATTGTGACAAAGCTGAAAATTATCTGCTCTCTAGCTTCATCAACCCCTCAAACTTTGACACAGAACATCCTAAATTACAGTAATCATATTTATATGCTTGGGAAGTTAAGTGAGTATTTTATCACTGTTGGAGGTTTAAATTTAATAGATGCAGGATCTCTTATGCCATTTGGACATTTCTAAGCTAGATATAAAATTTTCTGTCAAAATGTAAAACAATAGTCACACAAAAAAAACTTGAACAAAGTAACACCCCTAGTCTTAAAGAAACATGTTTCAAGCTGTCTGAAAAAACAGTCTAGGTGTCTAGGAACTGCAGCAGCTTAATGAACTGTCACTGTTTAAGAACAGGTCACTAAAAAATTGTAGACTAACAACAATTCATGATATATCTATAATAAAATGCTTTATTTTGTAGAAGTTAAGCTTTTTTTTCTTTAGAAAACTTCAAGACACTTTACTGGTCATCAACATTTTCTAAGTACTCTACTAATTAGTAACAGAGGATGGCACCTTCACAAAGTCCTTAATTTCAAAGGGCAGCTTCTTGCAGGAATTCAGAAGTTCAGCTGTTTTAACTTTGATTTCAATCTCACCTGTAGGCATTTTCTTAGAGAGAGAAAAAGACCTATTTTAAAAATCACCCATCAGGATATACACATAATGAGCATTTGTAAAACACACGCATTTTTTTACATCTGTAAAATGTGAGGGTGCTTATGGTATATAGTCTAAGGCATAAATGTCTAATCATGATTTTGACATTTTTATGTGTATCTGTGGCTAATGTACTTGCTCATTAACAAACGTTTTAACATACATATTTACACAGGTGTGTATGTTTGTAGTGAAGATTTTGGAATCTGTAGGTCCATTCCTAGAATTTACTGGGCTTTGGTGCTTGATGTCTAATAGGTGCTCAGTGCCTGAGTGTGTAGACAGACAGTGCAAATGTATATAGGTAGAATTCACCTATTTTCTACAGTACTAACTGGATTCTCTTGTCCTGGAGGTCGGGAAATTACTGTCCCAGACACTTGTAACACAGACTCTATGGGGGCTTCACATAAAATCTTCTTCACAGGAGCAGCTGACTATAAAATAAGAGAGGAAAACAGTTCCAACAAACAAATGAACTTCAAGCATTCTTCGGAAAAGTGTTAATACTAATAGCTTAATGCCCCTACCAGAAATACCAGGGCTGCCGTTAGTGACTTTTAGAATTTGGTAAACTGCATCCCATTTTGACTCCATATAATACAGAAAGTAAAACTATTAGTCAAGAGTTTTAAAATGTTTTCCTTAACGGAAAATAAGGAGAAGAATGATTAGTGCAAACAATTCCCACATACATTACAGGCAAGTATCTTCAGGGTTTGTTTTAGAGACAGTTATATCCAAAAGCAATAATGGAGCCCACATGAAAGGTCAGCTAAGTTCTCCTGGGTTAGCTATGGATTCTAACCCTTAAAAGATAATTCATTGCTCTTTACTTGTTTCAAACACTAAAAGCTGAGAAAATCATATTTTTCTTAGGCATGTACGTAAGCATTTGTAAACATTATCACAATAGAAACTCATGTCACCTAGCATGCAAGAGAGCTCTTTATTTGATCTAATTTTATTGTAATTTTTTTGAATACTCAATACCTTCACCTGGCTCAAAACTGAGAGTACCAACTTAGTGAAGTTTCCCTCCTACCCTTGTCCTCTAGCCCCTTAGTTCCCCACTCTAGAGGTACCCAGTGTTACCAGAGACTTATGTATCCTTCCAGGGACATTTTATAACATATACATTCATGCACATGCTCTTTTATACAGATGATAGTACTCTATATGCTCTTCTGTGTCCCATTTTTTTCATCTAACAATATATGTTGGATTTTTCCCCCGTTAGTACAGAAAGAGCTTCTTCAATTTTTTTTCTATGTCTGTAAGGATGTACATTATTTTTTACCCCAGTCTCATTTTGGGAATGTCTAGGTTGTTCCCAATTTTTTTTCTCTTAAAAATAATCAGACAATGAATAACCCTGTATTTCTGTCATTTTACATCTGTGTAAGTCTAGGTATAAAATAATTTTAAGTTAACAGACTAGAAGTAGAATGAATGGTTCAAAGGATATATGCATTTATAATTTTGATATTGCCATTGCCCTCCTTAGAGCTAGTGCCATTCTGCTCCCTCCAGGAATGTAAGAGCACTTGTTTTCCCAAACACAGTGTGTTGTCAACCCAGTGTGTCAAAATTAACAATTCCGTGTAGTTTTAATTCACATTTCCCTACCTATGAGTGAGATTGGGCATATTTTCAAGTCTATAAGCCACTTACATTTCCTTTTCTGTGAATTTTATGCTCATATCCTGGTTTCATATTTCTACTGGGTCACTGGCACTGGTTTTTTGTTTTGTAGTAGCCATTTGGATATTAGAGAAATTAGCCCTTTGGGATATGAGCTGTGGATATTTTTTCCCAGTTTGGCATGTCTTAATGTTGCTTATGGTGGTTTATAGTTTTCATTAATGATAAACTTTTGAATTTAAAACCTCAAGCACACTTGTCCAACGTACTTAGCTTACTCTAGCCACCATATCAAAGAGGTTCTCAGGTAACAGTAGGAAATCTTCTATTACCTCCTCCTGGGGAATGATAACTTGAACAAGCCCGTGAAAATCTCTTAGGACCAGGAAAATGTTTTGCCTGATTAATAAAGAAAATGAACACATTAGGGTAAAATCTCTGAGCCCAAACTTTAAGCAGGCAAAACACAAATTAAACAAACAAAAATCCATGCAATTTCTCACATTCCTTTTCTATAATTAAATAATTATGTGCTTTCATTAGCTATATTCATGCTATTATCTATGTAGCTTATTAATGAAAAAACAATTTTAATTTTATTGGCTATATCTAGCTTATTAATGTTATCCAGATGGCTTATTAGTCAAAAGGCAGATTTAAAATTTTTTTTGCAATTTTCATTTGCTTAAGTCTTTATAAGAAAATTTATTAAATTTGATAACTTGCACATATTAAAATCCAAACATAATATTTCAGGATAGTAGAAACACATGATTGGTCATTTTTTGAAATACAGCAAAAGTCTTTTTTTTCTTCCTAAAAAGGAGATGCAATCTAAAATTTTCTAGTAGTCCAACTACTAATTAATCCCTCTACAAACCATCAAAAGGTCTGCCAAATCCCAACAGTTTAGCATTCAACCTACATTTCTCATACTGTCCTTAGTACCAGGAAGAGGTACAGGAAGCCTCCTTAGATTTTGAGTTCAGGAGATAAAGTCATCAAGGTTATGGGGTCAAATATCCACCCACCTGGACCACATTCTTTTGGAAGGTCACACAATCTATCTTTTCATTGTGAACTCATGTACTCTTCAGGTGTGTTCTGTAGTACAGAGATGGAACCACCAAAAAATGGGCTCTAATCTTAAGGAATCACTGTTCGTAGTTTTAGGCTTTTTCCCTATCTAAATTTAGAATAAAATAAGCTGCTTCATGCTGTTGAAACTTATCAGCTGGTCCATTCCAAATTAATGGTCCTAAGAATTCTTCAACCTTAGTAAGCCAAGGGACAATTCAGTCCATGGTGGATCATACTTTATTATACACTTCAACAGACTACTGTAGGTGTTTACTGGGAGTGACACTATTTGGGTCTTTCAAGATAAAAACAAAACTGAAAACCCAAGGAATTCTAAGAATTCTGCAGACTTGAAAGGCTTTTATTATTCTGACTGATTGAAAATGAGAAAGTTCTGGAATTGCCTTGCCTTGTGAAAATAAGAGCTCTGAATTTTTAAAACCCTCTGCCTCAATTTACCTTCGGTACTGAATCCATCCACACAAAGTGACTTCTTGGCCTAAATGAGAAGAACGCAACTCTCCACATGTGTTGGTCCGGGCAACAAAGCTACTGAATTCTTAAAAGAAAAGAGGAAACAAGCAAGAGACTAAAAACATTTGCAAATTGCTTAAAAACAGACTCTCAAATCACATCATCTTAGGAATTTTATGTCAGTGGATGAATCATACAAAGTAAGTCAAAGTATGTAATTTGGTTCAATCACTATTAAATTTACCTGAAAATGTGTCAAAAGCCAAAAGCATAATGTCTTAATGTACATTTTTGCCTTGTTAGGAAGTCTGAATTTCTTTTTATCACCTAGCACTTGCTAAATTTACCCTAATTTAGCACACCTAAAATTACCCTATTCTTAGTCTTGCCCAAAATTAAACAGGATTTTGGGAATTACAGAAATTTGATGGTACCGTAACTACCTTTAATACTACAGTGAAATAAATAGTCACTTGCACACTAGAAAACACTATTCAAAGTATTCTCAACATGAGAGAATTTTTTAGGCTTAGAGCGCTTCGCTGCTTTCACCTGGAATTCTTCTCTGTGAACTCAGACCCAGACTTCTAGAGAGAGAACCCCGGACCAGAGGGGTGGCCCTTCCGGTGGGTCTGGACAAACCCCTGCAGAGCCGACTTAACCGACATAACATTTTGGAGCCACAGGACGGCGAGAGATGCTCACGACTCCTAAGATGCCGGCGGTGATGGTGGTCAAAGTCAGTTTTGGAAATATACACAAATCCCTTAAAATGCTAGTATTACCCACTCTCCCAATATTTGAACCCTTCTCCGCTGAGCATCCACGACGTACAGGTGTCTAGAAACTAGGTAAATCTGCAAGGACTTTGGGGCCCTTGGGAAGTGGGTAGGAGAAAAGACCTTCCCCCTCCTCTCACTGCCATCAGTTTTCACTTCTTAATAAATCTGCGGCCAGAAGAGACGACAGAACTCCCGTCACACTGCAGCACAAGGCGGGACCAGCGGCCACGCGGAGGTAGAAGAAGCCGTTGTCCCTCGCGCAGCCTTCTCTTCCACGCTCTCAGAAAGTGCCCGGGGGCAGAATCGGAAGTCAGGAACTTCAGCCTCAGGTTTCTAATCTCCCAGACGTGTCGCCCGACCTCGGGTGTTCACGAGGATATCCAAAACCATCTCAAGAGCCCAATCCACACACTGACGGCCGCGCCTCGGTCGGCCACCCAGCGCCCAAGATTACGGTGAAAACATTCAGCCAATCAGAGCGGAGGTGCTGCCACCATGCTTACTACGGGCGGAAGTTTGAAGGAAAGCTTTGTGCCTGTAGAAAAAGCACCTCGCAGCTAGGAAAGTTGATAATGGCTAGGTTGCTCGACTTGCCCTCAATCAAAATGGTGACTTCAGTTGCTTCACCGACTGGGAATCGACGCAGGCTTCCTGCGATGGGCCGCAGAGCGAGTCGGGAAATAATTTTAAGCTGAGGGGGCCGTTAAGGATGTTTCCGGTTGTCAACGGCTGGGCTCCCGAGCTGGACCTGGCCGCTGAAGGGCTCAAGTGGAGAAGGGTGAGTCAGAACACGTTATCCTTTGCCCTTCCCCTCCGCGGGTAGAAGCCGTCTTCGCAGGAGCGAGCGTCGCGGGGCCTTGTCGCTGGGTCAGTGGACTGTCCCACCCGGGATGAGGTCTCAAGGCTCGCCTGGTGTCTGAGGGAGCGGAGTCTCCTTACGAGCATGTTTGTTGTCGCCGGGGAGAACCCACTTGCTGTGGAGCGAGATGGGGCTTGGCAGGGCAGGGGTCCGCCCGACTCTCTTAGCCGTCGTTTTGGCTTTTTTTTTTTTTTTAAACTTCAGGGGATATCTGTCTCGACGTAGTTTGGGATTCAGACTTGAAGAATGATTGGTGCTGCGGGAATGGGTGACAGCGTCATCACGGCATTTTATTGGTAAGACGCTTCGTAGTGGGCCAGGACTGGCAGTAAACAATCTGTTCCTCCCTATTGTGGGGTCGTTGTCCTTAACAGTACTTGAGTGTTCAGATGTCTTTCACTCAGTGTTTGGGACTTGGCGTTGGGGTCGGTTCAATTTAGGTATTGGTGACGCGGTTGAATTTAACTGTTGGTGGCGATGTAGAAAAGTGATTTAAGCCAGAGTCCCTTGCTTCACGGACTTAAACAACTACAAGTGCAAGAGCAAGCAGGACAACTAGCTCTGGATGCCGGCAGGCTTCCGAGGAGATGACAGCTGCAGGATGGATTGGATTTTGTCAGACAAAAAAGTATTTTTAATTGAAAATAGGTTGAATACAAAAGTCAGGGAGCAGGGGCAAACATGACAGACATAAAGAGCAGTAGGGTGATGCTCAATCTAGGGTAGGGGACGTGTATTGGGTGTAGCAGTGGTTCTTAACCTTTTAAAGAATTGCCTACTGGACCTTTCTTTACCCCCTCGCCCACCAAATACATATGCATACAACATTTTGCATACAACCTTAGAGGGTTGTTGGGTTTTGGAAAGGCTGTTCATCCATGAACCTAAGGACAAAAACTTCAGAAGTATAACATAAACCTGAATAGGATGTCAGATAATGTAGTGCCTTGAAACCGAGGCAGAGAAGTTCTGACTTCATTTAGAAGATGATAGGGAATTGTTACCGGATCTCAAGGAGGCTAATGCCAGGATAAAAGTGGTGTCTATGGACAGACTAGCCATGGATTGGAGAATGGGGTTAAGCTTGGGAACAAGATAAGTAATTGTAATTAAGAATGGAAGTGAGGGCCAATCTGAGAGGGCTACTGTATATTCTCTTAAGAAATATGTCGGAATTTGATCAAAAATTGAATGTAAGAGTGAAAGATGACTAAGATGTACATTAAGGGGCAGGGAAGAAAATGGGAAAAAAGAATGGAATTACTGAGAAGAAAAGAGTAGTTGAGAAGGAAAAATTGGTTGTGAGATAATGTTTAGCCTTGAACTTGATGAGGTTAAAGACCCTGAAGTTTAATGTCTTATGGGAAATTGGAAGTACCGGGGCAAAGGTCTGAAGATACTTAGGAGTCATATGTAAAAAGTGATTTCAGAGTTTGCGGGGACATCCACTGTTGGGGCAGGAGGAAGAACAGGAATCAGCAAATGAATCAGAAGGAACTATAAGAAATGAGGAGAGAAAATTGAGTGTCTGAAAAAACAAAGTGATAGGAAGTTTAGAAGAGTAAAGATGAACAAACTTGATGAACCAGGTATTTGGCCCTATTTTTGGCAAAAAGCATTATTGGCAGTCATTGAAAGTACAGTTTCTTCATAGTGATAGATATAGAAGACAGAGTCTGAGATTTCCAATAGTATATTTATTAGTAAGTGAAGACAGTAGTTGTATACCACCTTTCCAGGAGGTTGATCTCAAAAAGAATGAGATGAATTGGATCTAAACAAGTTTTTTTTGTGTTAGGAATATGCTTGGCAATGGAAGAAAAGTATCCCATGGAGTAGACATTAGAAATGATAGTCGTTTGATGTAAACTTGGGGGTGGTGTCCAAGGGAGATGTGAAAGGATATGGAAATCTAGGCCATTGGTTGACGGATTAGCTTTAGAAAGCAAATAAGGGGGCATTTGTTTACTTACAATTGGAAGAGTAAAATATTAAAGTATTGAGTCAAGGTATATTTTTAGCCTCTTATTTATTGGGCAGGGCAAAATTACACGTTATTGAGTATGGAACAAGTAGATAAAACAGATACAAATAATGTTCTAATCTTTAATGCACGGATTTGGGCTGTTTTGTATTCCTGTAACATTAAATACTCAAGAGATGTTTTCTCAGAACCAGCCCTCTCAGTGCTAATAGTCTTTTTTCTCACCTAAATAGACTTTAAAGTTTTTTTTGGAATTCATAGGATTTCTCTTTTAAAGAGTCAAATTCAGTAGGGCTCAATTACCTTGAAATTGATCCCTTTTGAAAGGCAATGGGAAGGAAGGAGATAAGAACACCCACTCTGGTGTTAGACTGTCTGGGTTCAAACACTCTTTACACTTGCACTCTTTAACTGTATGACCTTGGCAAGTTATTTAACATCCCTTTCTCTCCTTTTGTCAATTCATGGGTTTGTTTGAGGATTAAATGAAACAGTATTTGATAAAGGTTTAGAAGAGTACCTGGGATGTGATGAATACTCGGTGAATGTTAGCAATTATTCCACATAACAAATTTAAAAGAAAAATTCAGTGTAGATGGGGCTGACTAAAATTCTCTTTTAAAGAGATAATTCAGCATGCATTTAAAGGTAGACTGCTTTAGAGTAGCTACTATTTAAGTTGTATGGCATATGGTCTTGCTCTGGCTATTATCTGAACTTTGAGAACTGTATGCTTAACTTAGAGAGTTTTGTGAAGGTATAGAGGGTGTTTTACTTTGACATAATGAAATTTAAATATAGTGATAAGTATAACTTCATTTTTGAAAAACGTTTAAAAGGATAGCTGTGCCCGTACTTGGGAGTAATTGTTGTAATTTAAATCGTAATTCCTTTCAATAAAAGTTATAATTTTGGAATTCTATGAAATACTTCAGTTAAACCAATACTTGTTTAGCAAGAAAAAGCACTCAGCATTATAATAGGATAATTATACAAGAAAAATAAAAAATACGGTTTCAAAGTAGTTCACTATTACTGGGGAGAGAAGAAATGCACACCAGAAAAAAAAAGAACAGTACAAGAAGTATATGAATATGGGCCAGAATGATACATGAAGGGTCCCCACCAGTAAGATGGCAAACTTCCGGCTTCTCTTCGGGGTCCTCAGTTCCCGCCGGTGCCACCTGAAGCCCAATCACCTCTCGCCCCCCTCCCAATCCCAGCACCTAGCCAACAGCCACCAGCCCCATAAAAGTGACACCTCAATCAATTCATGCCCCTTCCTATATAACCCAGCACCTTTCCCTAATAAAGCGGAACTCTCCGGTGAATTGCTGCTATGTGTCGCTCCTTTCCTTTCAATACACAGTCTGTACAGACAGACTAGGAGATCAAGGAGAGCTGTGTGGGCTGGTATATTATTAATATCCAAAGATTTTATAGAACATTCTTGAGGGATTTTGTTAGACTCATCTGGAGGGCTTTTGGGCATTTTAGAAATATTTTATCCCTGAGAACTCATTCTATACAGTACATATTCTGCTTCCAGGGAAGAGTGAGCCACTGATACATAAGAGTATATACAATACAGGTATTCTGGGGGAAAGAAGGCTTAACAAAACCCTACTACTTGAAAGGGAATCAAGCTCAAGCATGAAAGGAGGTAGAGTGGAAAAAGGACACTTCAGATAGGGAATATAGTTGATAGGCAAAAGCGTGAAGATATGAATGCTTATGTCGAGGAAAAGCAGGGTAAGAACAGGCTGAAATAGGAAAGTTCTTAAATACCCAGCAGAAGAGTAGAAGTTATCTCATCACTTTAAAGTTTTTTTGCACAGGTGACTAATAATACAGTGTCATTTCTGAAGAATGGATTACCCTTAAGTGGAAAACATTTAATTGTAGTACTGTCTAAAGAAGTAGCTTTCAGAATGGATGACAGAGACTGTTGAAGGAAAAACTCAAGAGAATGTGCTTAATGACTACATGTTAAAGAATGTAAGTGGGAGACTACTTAAATGAATTTAAATTAGCAGAGAAAACTGACAGGAATTTGAAAATAGACCTGCTGGCTAGGAGGTGGATGAGGAGGAGTTGAATTTAATTTTGAATGTACTGTGTTGAGGTATCTGTAAAATATTCATAAAAATGATCTTTGGCCATTGAGAAATAGAGGACTTGGTTAAAAAGTCAAAACTGGAGGTGGAAAGAATTCCTTTATAGTGAAGAGAGAATCAGTGAAACAGCATGAATTAATGTTTTAGTGTTTAGAATTCTGGTTTTATTTGTGTTTGTGTAGACAATGGATTCTTACAACGCACCAGAATCGACTCCTAGTCAAACTGCGACCTCGAGGCTTAAAGATTACTTTATAGGTGCCACCCCTCTGCAGAAACGATTAGAATCAGTCAGGAAGCAGACCTCAGGTGTCCCGACTCCACCTCGAAGGAAAATCCCCCAGTGTTCACAACTGCAGGTATGCCTTCTGTGTTCCTTCATATTACTCGATACATGAAAATATCTGTGAACAAAACATTTCAGTTTTTGTTACTATTTATAGTCTTTTTAGAAACTTCTTAATCCCTTAGGTAATAATTATTCGCACTATCGGTACCACTTTTGTTATGTCTTTTAACCTCCTTTAATCTGGAACATACT